GATAATGATGGCGCTCTCCTGTGATATCTTGTCAAGAAATTCATTAAAACAAATTATGGAGTTACCTTTACATTTAGATAATTTGAAGTCTGAGTTCCATATCCATATAATAACAATATTACTTTATTCACTTTTGTGCATTTACAGATTTTTATCATAGAAGATAGAAAATACACACCAAGAAATAGAAATAAAAGAAGAACCATTGGGTAAAAGAACTATCAAGTTTCCGAGTCAACAAGTTTCTGAGTCTCATTTAAGTTGCTTAAATGAGACAAACAGGGAGAGCAGAACTATGCTTAAACAAAATTATAATGATGATTATAATAACGACAAGGGGGGACAGGTAGATACCAAGACGAATGTTCGGATTGCTGTTCTGACAATAAATCTGAATATTACTGTTTTTGAGAAACTGAAGGCTTTTAGGTATTTTAAGTCTGCTGGAATTTTTATTTTCCCAGAGATTAGTTGCATATTGAGTATTTGTTTGTTTTCCAGAGTAGTTTTGTCCTTGACGAAGGGCTAATCCTTGAAATGTCAACTTCAGAATCTCTTTTCCGTGGCCATATGACATTGGCAACTTAGTTGATAAACAAAGTTTTCAATACAGGAAAGACAAGGAAACTTATATTCGCTTTCCAATTTTAGAAGTCTTCTGTAATTTAGAGCTGCAATTTCCATAGTAATGTAATGGAATGCATGGAAACAACTTTAATTTCCGACGTCATCGCTTCCCCTTAAAAACATTAACAGGTGGCCTACACCATCAGTTTTTTAAAAAAAGTTCATAATTTACAAGTTACGCATCGGCCTTTTTAAGTTCTTTCATTTAGACCGTCAACTCCGAAGAAAATTATCCTATCGTTTAAGAGTATTTGTTAAGGTGGGATTACCGAACTTTCGAAAGTCACCTCGAAGTTATATTTGGATCCTCTGGAACATAGGCCAAATGAAATTCAGTCTGAAATTCGTCAACAATCACTCCGCCGCCGATGTTAATGCATTTGTAAAATTAGAAATGGATAGATTAACAAATGATTATTAATTTCCAAAAGGGTTTTGCGCGAATTTTTCTTTTGTCACATTGGTGTTTCCATCTCGTTACGAGGGTTACCAACGAATGCAGATAAAATGTAAATGAGCTACACATATTAGCATAACTGAACATTTTCTGGATTTCTTGAAGCAATGGTAGAACCGAAACTTCCGACCTAATCGATAGCTCTTGTAGAATGTCGAGAAGCGAAATTCTAGTGATCGTGTCCGCCGCGGCTGATTCAGGATTGATTGTTTTTTTCAATCATGTTTTGTTCACCTTTGAAGCTTCTGACCTTGACAGTGTGCGTGCTTGCCATAAGCTATCTCCACACAGGTGGACAAGTTTAAATAATTTTTAATATGGGTTTTTGAGACAATTTTCTCTGTAACTATTATGTCAAGGTTGGAGACATGGTTTTTTTTCCTATTATGTCTGATTTAGAAGTTCTCGTAAAGAGGAGTTTTGGTTAAGCTGTTATGCCGAGGACATTCGATTCTGGAAAATGTTTCCAGTTTTATCTTTCCTCAAACTAGTCAAAAGCTGGGCTAAAGTTAAAGCTCCAGAAGTAGTTGGAAAAAACGACTTAATAAGGCGGAACGTGAAAGGACAAGGAATTATTTCCATCACCC